GGGAGATCGTCGGATGTCCATCCAACGGCGGGAGCAAACACCCGCCGCCCGCTGCCTCCGGTCGGCCCACCTGTTTCCCGCAGCCTGCCCAACATCTTCCAGCGCAGCCCGACACTCAACATTGCAGACGCGCTCAGCGTAAGCGCCGTCACCCCACACGCCGCCGCCCCGGCGAGCAACGCGTCCCCTGTCAGCACATGCACGGGTGCAGAGTCAAAGCGCGAGTCGCTGGCCTTTCTGTCGGACGCGCCGCTCCGCAGACAGCGGTCTCGATCCACCTCATCCTCGCGGCACACCGCTGTGCAGGAGGTGGACGAGGAAGAAGACGAAGACACATCCACGACCACGACCGCGACCACCAGCGCCAGCACGCTGCACGGCGATATCGACGCCCTCTTTGCCGGCGTGCACGTGGTTGGCGTTCGTGCAGACTCGTCCGTTTCGCCTGCACAGCGCCGGCGCCGCCGCAGCAACAGCAAAGGGCACGCACACACCATGATGCAGCGCCAGCAGCAGTACCAGCAATACCAGCAGCAGCACGCCCGCATCAGCAACAGCAGTGGCAGTGGCAGTGGCAGTGGGCTCGGCGTGGACGGCGGAGTTGGGCTTGAAAAGCGGTCGCCGATCAAGCGCGCATCGCCGCCGGCGCGTCCAAAGGCAGACGTCTTCTCCTTTGACGCAAAGACCGTTCAGAACTACCACGACAAGATCCGCGACCGCCTCACCGTACGTGGCTATGGGGCGATTGTGTTTTTGTTTTTGTTTTTGTTTTTTTGTTTTTTGTTTGTTTGTTTTTTGTTTTTTTTTTTAGGGGGGGGGGGCTTTGTGTGGGTGGGTGTGGATGGGTGTGGCGTGAGAATGCACATCCCCTCTGTGTGTGGGTGGGTGTGTGGGTGGGTGGGTGGGTGGGTGTGTGGGTGTGTGTGCATGTGTGTGAACACTTGCGCTTACTCGCGGTTTTCTCACCGCTTTCTCACTGTCCCCATGTTGCTTGCTGCTTGTGCTCGGTGTCTACAGTCGTGAACTCCACAGAGAGACCAACACCGACACCATCGACGCCAACAACAACGTTGACGTGACAGCCCGTTCATCTTCGGCCGTGTTTGTTCCACAACACAACCAAGCCGAGCACATTGCTCGTTCGAGCCACCATCGTGTTCCCTGCCACCTCATCTCGCTCCGTTCCTTCGGCATATTCAACTGCATGCACATCGCGTTTCCTTGCTGCGTTGTTCGGTTCCCAGCAAGCATGCCCTTGTTAGGGCCTTCTCCTTCTTTCTAACGGTCCCCCCTCCCTCCCTCCCTCCCTCCCTCTCTCTGTTTCATCATCGCATGCGATTCGCCTCTTCTCTGAACTTGTGGCATTAGCTTCCAGCCACCTTTTTTATGCTGACGCAGTGCGTCCCTCACCTTCAGATCACGTACTCTCTCCTAACAGATGTCATCATCACGCTTTCTCGGTTCTTGTGGTGTTTGCCGTTTCGGCTCTCTTTCGGTACTCAGCGTGTGTGTGTGTGTGTGTGTGTTTTCCTAACTGCGCCTTGTCGTTTTGCGTGTTCTTTGACTTTGTGTTGTGCTTGCATGCAATCTTCACTGGCTGATCTCAGTCATTTATTTCTGGGTATGGCTGTGCCATTTGTCGTTCGTTTGGCTGGCTCTGACTGAATGCACCTCCTTCTTAGTTCTCCGGTTTCTTTTGGTATTTAGCATGTATGCGCATCTCCTGGTGTGTGTGTGTGTGTTCCGCACCACCATTTGGGTTATTTGTTTCCCCTTGTTTCATGCACTCGTGTTGTTGTTGTTGTTGTTGTTGTTGTTGTTGTTGTTGTTGTTGTTGTTGTTGTTGTTGTTGTTGTTGCGGTCGTGGACGTTCTCTCGTCTGCGTTCGTTCGCCCTTCTCTCCTCGCCGACCACACTCGTCGCTCTTTCGAGCCCCCTTTCCATGCATTATGTGCCGCCCGCACGCCGCCAACAACACTCCCTTCTCCCTCCCTCCCATTTCCACTGCCGCTGTGCTGGCGCTTGTGTTATGCATGTGCTGTTGTGCCGCAGGCTTGAAGCCACAGCTTGCACAGTCACGAACACTCTCGCCGTGACACAGTGGCCTGTGTTGTGTCCCTGTGTGTATATATTCATTGCGTCCTTCTCACTGCCTCACCACCCCCCATTCACCCAATCAATCGCTCAATGCTCGGATACACAATACACAATCATCACGATGAAAGCATGCAGCACAAACGAAGCAACGCAAGAGGCTGTGTCTGTGTCTGTGTCTGTGTGACGTTTATTGTTGAATGTCGCTTGGACCAGTGTGCGCGTTCATGTAGGTTGGTTGGCAACGTGAAACAACCAACCAACAATCCCAAAACAGGGTTGTGTAACAAATACATGTCATCGCTAGTGTTTCCATCCACCACGAGCATCACGGGCTGCTGGCAACGTGTCCCCATTGTCGCTGCTTGCGCTGCTGCCCTTCTTCTTCTTGCCGTCGTTCTCCCCACTGCTGCTGCTGCTGCTGCTGTTTCCGCTGTTTCCGCTTCGGCTGCTGCGGAAGCGACCACCACCTGGATGTGGTGTCCGGGTATCTCGCATCAACCGTGATGCACAGGCTGTCAAACCAGTTTGCACACGTGCGCCCAGACGCGCCAATCAAAAACTGCTGTTGCGTGGAGCCTGGCACGCAGTATGCGTTGACAATGGGGGCGGGGCCCTGAAACGCGCTCGTAGACAGAGCTGTGACGCATAGGCCTGACGCAAGGTGAATGATGGTCCTGTTGTCCACCGAAAACATCTGCGACACATCGTTCGCCCTGCACTTGTCCACATACATGACCCCGTTCCTGCACGACAGCGAAAAGGCAGGTGTGTGTGTGTGTGTGTGTGTGTGTGTGTGTGTGTGTGTGTGTGTGTGTGTGTGTGTGTGTGTGTGAATCGTTGAGTGAGTGAGGCGTGTTAATTAGAGGGGGCACAGCACCAACACACTTCTCGATGCTCCAACCACTGTACACACAACACAAACATACAACACACAACACACAACACACAACACTGAACAAAACAATGTGCTTATGCTGGCACCTGTCTGTGACGACGCGTGTCTTTGGGAGAGCCGTTGGGCCCGGGGGAAAGTTTGGAGAATACACTTGACCCTGATGATGCATAATCGGAGTGGTGGCGGTGGCGGTGTTGAGATGGGAACGACAACAACAACAACAACCACTTACGTTACCGCCCCCCGCCCCCCAAACAACAACCAATTCCACACATGCAACACGCACGTGTGTTCTCTGCAGGAGCGTGCTGTTGACGACCCAGTTTGACCCACGTCCCTCTCGCTCAAATTGCGCAACTGAAAACAAAATAAAGTGGCAGCAGTGGTGGCCCGAAGCATTTGGAATGTGAGAAGGAAAAGGTGGGAGGCGAAGCAAGTGGCGCAAGCATGAGAACGGTGCACCAATGCAAGCACCCAGTTGGAGTAAGATGACAGTACATAATCAGTCATCCAATCAAACCACACATTCACTCAACCCCAGCCAAACACTCGAATACCACACATCAAATACACACACACATCCAAACACACACACAAACACCAAGCCACGAAGCACAACAACACCAACCAACAATCCACCACCACTCAATGCACGACGCCATGTGTGCCGTTACCCATTCGCCCGCGCCAGAGGGCAAGTTCCAGCTGATATGCCGGGTCACCGCTGAGATCGTGCAGTTCATCTGAGGTGATGACATCGGTGGAGGTGAAAGGGTTTGAAGTTGAGTACATGAGGGGCTGAGTGTGGCTGCCGTGATGCTGACAGACACAGACGGATGGCTGAGGAGTGCAAGGCACTGAGAGGTTGTGTGTGTCTGTGTCTGTGTCTGTGTCTGTGTGTAGAGTACGTAGGTGCCACAGCGGTAGGAGTGTGCACGCACGTGGATCGGCGGAGATGTTGAAGAGCTGCTCCGTCGCGTCAAATGCGTGGAAAATGTATTTCATTTCCGTATCTGCTCCATGAAATGGAAAGAGGGGAAGAGAGGATGAACGCGTGAGCCACAAACTGTGCAGGACAGCAACATTGGGGAAGCATCGTGTAGTCAAAACGCAAGCACGACGCAGACGCACACACATACACACACGCAAACAGATCCACACACACACACACACACACACACATACACATTTACACTTAGTCTGTTACACAGCGGATCGAAGAGAACAGAACCTGCATACCCATGAGAAGCGTCCCATGCACTGTTGCGTGGAGACGGGGCTGTGCTCCATGTCCAGCC